TGACCCCTTAAATTGTATCCCCCTTCCCTTTCATTAAATAGTTTTTGAATTCCACCAGGTAATAAATTGTTCCTGGCTTTATACATAAACACTACAGTCTTGTATCCCACCAGATCGAAAAATTTTAGCAATTTAGACTGTATGAAAGCTACATTGGTATAATCCTTGTACCCCATCTTATGCACAATTCTTATTGCTCTTTTTTGTAATATATACAGTGGTTGAAGTGAGCTTGTGTATGTATTTCCCCAGTTTTCAACGCCATACTCCAAGTATGGTAGAATCAATGAGGAATACAACATGCGTAATGCTTCACTGTTTCACTGTTTGCTGTGTAGCAGAGTCTTGATCGATGCTCACAGATTAAGTGAACCTGAAACACAGGAAACACTGTAAATCTAAGGAAAGTGAAAAATATTATCTTCAAAATGAGACAAGAGTGTTGTACCAACCTGATGGAGCAGGAATCTGTGAAAGACATTTGTTGTTATATAGTTTTGCAAAATAAATGATTCTACTGCCATTTTAGGTCATGTGCTCTTTGTATCAGAATAACTAGAGCTTAAGTAGAAAGTAAACCATCTAATATCAGGGGAAAATGCCTCACCCTTGAATTGTGTAGAATGACACAGCAGGACCAGGAGAACAATGAGTATGATTCCCAAAACCAGCCGAACGATCAGCGACACAGGAAACAAAAAGATTCCATGTCTTGACACAGCTATTGTAAATAATAAAAATCAGTAAAATATTAAGATTCATTTCTTTCACAAAAATCAGTCAAGTGATTTAAAGAAAAAATAAAAATCTACAGCACAAACACAAAAGTTCTAAATATGAAAACTCAGGTCGTTTTAATGCTGCTCACCCTTCACTGCCATCCAGCTCTGTGGCGACTCTTCTCCTGAGCACCGACACTTGTAGAAACCTTCGTCTGACTTTGACACTGCAGAGATCTTCAGCTCCACTCTACTGTCATTTTGGATGAGTTTATGATTTAGATAGAAAAACACATCAGAAAGTGGTTGTCCAGTTCTCGACTTGCAACCAAGAGTAACAGAGTCTCCCTCAGTCACAGGACGGACTGGGCTCACCAGGAGAATATCTGCACCTGTACAACAGTCAAACAGTGAAGGTTCAGTCAGATCAGCTGCTGCAGACCTGCACACTTTATTTTGATTAGCTTGTAAATGTGCTTCATTTCCAGCCTCAGCGAGCAAAGAGAGAACATTAATATTCATGAACAGTACCACATGCAGTATGTATCTTGTGTAAATGTACTTGGAATTTATTTTTAGTCAGTAGCAAAGTGAGCAGTCATTGTTTTAATTGTGCCAAAATTCAGAAACCTTTGTCTCTTTAAGCAATGAATTAGACCTTAAAACATTTCCTTTAGCAGTTTTAATATTTATAAACCATTGGAATTGTGAACATAACTGATGCAAAACATGAATTCTGAAAAAAAATTGAAACCTACTTTGTACAGTGATGGTGACTGCATTGCTGAATGGACCTGATACAGACTCACACCAGTACACTGCTGTTTTTGGTAGAGAGGTGCTGATGTTGCAGGTGGAATCAGTCATTGACCCCCACTGAGAACAGTTTGACAGGCGGCGTGCTGCAGGAAACCTCCTCAATCTCCACTCCGTAGAGTTTCCCTCACAGCTCAGAGACACAGAGTCAGAGGTGAAGTGTTGACCTTGGTCAGGACTCACTGTGAGAGACGCTGCTGGATGAGAATCTGACAAACATGAAGAAAGACATGAAGATTAAAATGCCACAGTGAAAATCATTTGACTTGGATTGGGGTGTTGCTGAGGATTAACACAAACACTGCAACAAGGTGCAGTGTTTTGGTCAAACTGTGATTTCTACCTTGAAAACCTGCTGACATTTATTTCACATGAGCTACAACCAAGTGACAACAGCAGCTGCTGTCTGAGGACTGAGACACTACCTTCTTTTACCAGCCACCTTTCAAACATACAAGGTGAGAATTTCATTTTTCAGTTCATTTCTTCCACTGCAGGAGGATGAATGTACACAGCCAGCTGTCAGCATGGGATTAGATGCTGCATGTTGGTCACAGACAAAACATGGATGAACTGAGGTGATGACAAAACATCTGCTTCTTGACAGAAGGACAGAAAAACAAACTCACCTCCAGACCAGACAAACTTAGGACGACTGTAATCAGTGTAAAACACTGGGTCTCCTCTTCCAGCTCTACACACATATCCTGCTGTGTGTGTCTGACCATGAACCATGTAGGAACCCTGTTCAGTCCCACTGCTGTTTCCAGGCAGCAGCTCATAGCTGTAGGAGTCGTCTGATGGTTTGGGAACAGCCTTATACCAGTAGAACATCCATCCTGCAGATGGATGTTCAACCTGACAGTTCAGAGTTACTGAGGCTCCAGGACCCAGCCATGATGGAAACACAGTGACAATAGGCCGGGGTTTATCTGTTGGAAAGATATCTAATAAGAAGTAAAAACATGTTAGTGTGCATTGTTTTTGGATTATATACACAGTTTGGAGCTGGGGACGAAGGCCAGCTGTGCAGCGTAGAATCAACAGGGAAGCAGGTAGAAGACCAACTCACTCACACCGGAGAGCAAGAGAGCAGGGTGGTGTGCAGGTAAGTAATTTATTCAACTGGAGAGCTCAACGTGTAGGTTTTAGTCACACCAGAGAGCACGATGATCAGATAACTTGTCAGTAAGTAGCTTTATCAGTTTCACTTGCACCAGAAAGCAGGATGAACAGGTAATTTCAAGTCAGTAGTTTACAAGGTCAGGTCTGCAGCCCAGGCGATAAGGAGACCAGGAAGCAGTGAAATCAGGTGAACACCAGGTAGAAAACACAAGCCAGGGATCATCAACAATCAAGTGCAGCAATAAACCAACGGGAATCAAACAGGAAAGGGGCATATATATGGGGAACTGGAGATAACAACAGGTGGAGGTGATGATTAGCTGATGAGGATGTGAATGGTAGGGAGAGACAGGGAATAGAGGGGAAAAATAACAAAATCAGGAAGCAAGTCCATGAACCATGACAACTATCTAAAATAAATTGATTTTTTTACAATTACATTAAAACGAAATGATGAAATCAAATGATAACTGATAAAAAAGTGAATTAGTGTCTTAGGCCAGTTTGAAAAACTTGATGAAAATGGCAAAATAAGGAATATGATAGTGGAAACTACTGATCAGTCCTGAGGGTTGACAAATTATTGAAGATAAAAGTGCTTCTGTTGGATTATTTAGATGAAAATGACAAAAACAAAATAAGAAAACAAAAGCTTTTCATATGAATGAAAGACGTCCAACTCACATGATACAGTCAGTGTGATGCTGTCACTCCACTCTGTTAATAAATAGTCCTTTCTGCCCCGACACCTGTAATCCCCACTGTCAGACTTAGTAGCATTACTGATCCTGTATTCACTGTGTGTTGGGCGTTTGTTCAACTTGGCTGGTGTCCATTCATACGTCCACTCAGTGTCTCCACCTCCCTGGATCTGACATCTCACTGTGATGGTCTCACCCCAGTATATCAGAGGCCAGTTGGGCTGCAGGGTCACAGTGGCCTTATCTGGAACTGGTCACATAAAAATACCCAGTTAGGAAACCAGTAGAGACAGAAAATCAACAGAAGAGTGTCATGATTTTTACATTTGTCTCTAGTGGTAAACATCCTTATTGTCCTCCAGTGACAATTTGTTTTCTCTATTTAGCTTAAACAAACAACACAAACACAACTCAGCAGCCATGGGCAACAAAATCACACATTTGTTGTGATTTGGTGGTATTTAAATAAAACTGAATAGAACTGAACTCACCAGTTTGATCAATAGTGACTGGATCACTTTCAAATGTGGAAGAATTTGTCCCTGTTCTCCGTCCTCTGCAGTTGTAAATGCCTTCCTCTGAGACAGACAATGTGTTAACTGTTGGCTTTATTGGGTCCTGCCTCGTTCCCACTACCACAGTCTGAACCAGTCATATAGTTTGACACCAGAGTCGTGCACAGAGCATGTCAGTGTCACACTGCCCCCTGCTGGTATGACGGTACTGTCTGCTGTCAGAGTGGCCTTGGCTCCAGATTCTGTTAGAAAAACAATCAAAAATATTGATTATATTGGATTTGCCATCCAACATATTTACATAAAACAGTGGCAACAACATATATTTCACATTATTCATGATGTTTAGTTGAAGTTTTGCTTCTTTGGCTCCACATGTTTATGAAATCACACAAAAGAGTAAAACTGACTCCAAACCTAGAACACATTTATGTTGTTTATATTAAGTTAACAAACACTGAATATTTATAGAGATGTTGGAGTAACATGTTAGAAACTGATAAACTATCATCATCAAGACTCTGAATGAGGAAAGATCTTTTGGAAGGTTGATGTTCATTCTTTCACAGTTTGCAGACACAGAGAGAGGAAACAGTGAAGATGTTACTCCGACAGTTTATGTTAGGTTTTCTTTTCATTGGTCACCCATCTGAAGCTTTGCTGTTGTCTAACA